TCATCTTCTCTCTCCCCTCTCTTCTCTCTCTCTCTCTCTCTCTCTCTCTCTCTCTCTCTCTCTCTCTGTCTCTGTTCTCTCTCTCTCTCTCTCTCTCTCTCTCTCTCTCTCTCTCTCTCTCTCTCTCTCTCTCTCTCTCTCTCTCTCTCTCTCTCTCTCTCTCTCTCTTCCTCTCTCTCTTCCTCTCTTTCTCTCGTTCTCTGTCTCTTTCTGTTTGCGTTGCAGCGTCATGTCCCCCCTGAGTTGCCTCGATTTCCGTGCACTGCCCCTTCATGACCCTGAACTGTCTTCTTTCTACTGGCTTTCCCCTTGATTTCCCTTTCGCGCCCTCTTCATGTCTCGTCATTTCCCATGATGTCCTCGACATGTCCCCTTCCATTCCTTTCAACTCCCCCTTCTTGTCCCCGTCATTTTCTCGGTATGTCCGCTTCATATTCCATGTATATCCCGTTCTTTCATTGCCAGTCATTTCCCTACATCTCCCTTCGTGTCCTTTGGTTTCCTTGTCCTTTGTTTCCCTTTCATTCCCCCTGCACTCCCCCTTGTTTTCATTTCTTTCCCCTTCATGTCCCTTTCAGTTCTCCTTTGTTTCCCTTTCATGTCCTCTTGCTTTCCTGTCATGTCGACTTCCTGTCCCCTGCATGTTCTTGCCTGTCCCTTTATGTCCTCCCCTCATTTCCCTGCACTTCCTTGCATTTCCCCTTCGCTCCCAGGATTTTTCCGCAAACACACACGGTTTTCCCACGTTTTCGCAAACAGGATGTCCAGATTTTCGGCAAAAGGAGGCAGGAAACCCAAAACCGTTTTTATCGGGCGTTCCGAGACCCACGCGCCGCGCAAACTGTGCTCTTGACATGGCATGCAGCGAGGCCCGAAAGTGCTGTAGGAGCCGCCTCAAACATTCACACACTGTGGTCTTCCTCTGTTTTATTTCCGCGTTTTCAGCCAGACAGGGGAAACAAGTGCAGCCGTTCGCGGTTTGGTGTTAGGCTGTCCGCAGAGCACGCCTAAGCATTGAAGTGAATCTTTTGCCAGCCTCTTTGTGCAACCATTGCCCCACGTGCATGTGCAGTGCTGAGCAGGTGCACTGGGTGTGCTTCTAATTTGGTAGGCATGTATGAGGTGCTGAAGGCATGCGCTGGAGCGTGTGTGCGTAAAAAAACAAACATATGGCACGCATGTATGCAGAGCTGAGCTTGAGCGGCGCTTATCATTCAGCAATGTGCGCAATGCTCTGCGCCTGCCGACCTAAATGCCCCCAAACCAAAACGAGGTCTTCTCGGACGGCCTCGTTTCAGCTGCACTGGCAGGCAAGCTTCAGGACTCAGACAAGTTGAAGGTGGACGTATGGAGCCTTTCAGAGCCGCAAAAGAAGGCCTGAGGTTTTCCGAGTCTTCAGCTAGAGTTGCCGAAAGCCCTGCGTCATTCTGAAGAGCTCGGCTGGTTGTCTTGGAAGGCTCATAGCATAGAAGATACCTTCAGAAGCTGCGCGCCTTAGCTGAATGTGCTTGATTCGGACTAGCTAGCCGACGTCAAGCTGCATCAGATGAGACTTTAGGGAAGTGTGTTGAATTGCTTTGCCAAGGACGGTGATTCTTTGATGGGGAAAACCGAGAAAGAGAAGCGCCGCTCAAAGTGGATGTCGAGTCACCATGTTGTGCGTTGGCCTTAGTTGGTTCAGCGTCACTGGCAAAGCTTTGCGGAGGTGTGTGCAGATTGCTCCAGAATATTCAGCCCCTTGTGCTTCTTTTTTTTTAAATCGCATTTCTTAGGTTCTGATGCTATTCTACATGGTGGCGTCATGGTTGAAATGGGTGCCTGGATGTGGCCATGGCTTCTGCCAAGTGACTGGACAAGCGCGCGAGAGACAAGGCAAAGCCAATGTCTTTCGCTGCGCACGTATCACTCTCATTGTTTGCAGTTTGCAGTATGCAAGCCTGCACAGGTGAGAACTTAGTAATGCTAGATTTGTCAGGACGAAACGCGCACAGCACGAGCCTAGGCCATCTGCAATATTACTGCAGCTTGCATCCCAAAGGCAGATTGGGACTTGATGATCTTGTTGCCGACACCGTGCTCAGAAACTCTCCAGGTAGCGAGGGAGACCTTCCGAATTCCCAAGCATGGCCATTTTTCTCAACTGAATTCGCATTCCGGCCACCAACGTGCCCTCACTTGCTTCTGACACACTGCCCCCCCCCCCCCCCCAACACTGCAGGTAGAGCACCCAACAGAAGCTTACAGACGGTTGCTTGGGTACTTGACTGCTTGCCGGCAAGATTTGGTGCCCGAAGCAATGGCCTGCTGTGCGGCAGCTGGGCTCTTGGGCCATGGTTCGAAGCCGCGCGTGTTGCACGGTTTCGAAGTCTCGCCGCACGTTGCCAGACTGGTGCTTCCCAGCTCGTGGCACGTAAGTCCCAGGCCCCGGTGCTGCCAAAGCGCATCAGGAAGGATGTCCTGGAGGCGTCTGCAGTGAATGGTCAGGATGGTCAGGGTAAGGATGGCCACGGTTCGTGAGTGCAGCGTTTGGCGCACGCCCGCGACATTTGGGCTTCAAGCAGGCCAGTAGCATGGTCAACGCCGAAATTCCAGACAATGTCAGTGATGGATGTTGAGGAGATGCAGACCACATATTGACAACAGCTTCAAAAGCAGCCTAGATTGTCCTTGGATGGACGGAAATGATATACTGCTTTGAAGCCGCCGGTCGGGTGACCTCAGGCAGGTGCCATGTTTGCCAGTTTGAGGCGTTTGACGATTGTTGGACTCTTGTGCCTTCCCTGCGAGGGGTATGCAGTACTTGTGGCAGTGCTTGCTCATCCTGCAGCCATGCCTGCAACAATGCCTGCAATTCGATTCAGTGTACGAGACCTGGCTGTGAATATGTCAAACCTGGTCGATGTCATGTTGGCTTCACAGGCTCCTAGTCTTGAAAACCATATTTGTATTTGTTCATGTGACACTTCGATTGGCGTTGAAGGGCGTTTGGGATTCAGACAGCGGCCACGCTGTGCCTCAGGGCATGCTGTAAGTCTCTGACGAACGTCTCCAGCCGACCCCTGGGCTGTTTTGTCATCCTGGTGCCTCGCTTATATGGGGTTCACAGGGCGTGAAAGGCAGGAGGGATGTGTGCAAGGCCTCGTTCGTAGCTGCTGAGGATGCTCGCTAGAAAAGCCAGTTTGGGACTTGCAGCCAGCGTATATTTGCACAGAAGACGGTAGTACGGTCGGCTTCTTTTAGGTTGCCTCGTCGGGCTCACCTGAACTTCTCGGGCTTACTCCCAGCTGATTGGATGTCACTGCGAGGCATTTCTGCTGAACGTGCCGGCAGGAATTCTTGCGCCTCTGCAAAGCTGGGAACAGCGGATAGGGCGAACTTCCAAAGACGCTCGCCTAGGCCGTGCTGAGCGCTCTGGACGAGGAGGTGCAGAGGTGCAGAGCTGCTCCAGCCGCTCTGTTTTTCAAGGGCCGAGAGGTCCAAGAGGTCCGAGAGGTCCGAGAGGTCCGAGAGGTCCGAGAGGTCCGAGAGGTCCGAGAGGTCCGAGAGGTCCGAGAGGTCCGAGAGATATCGATGAGGTGTTGGCCTGGTGCTATGGCGCGCTGATGCTCTCGATGCTGCTAACTCAGCCTGGGAAGAATTGCTTGCATGTCCTTTCACGGTGCCAACTGCCCCGCTGAGAACCAATGCCGCCTTCGCCTTCTACATGCAGCACAAGCTGGCCTCTGCAATTGAATCAGGCACCCAGCGAGGTGCTAGAGATATTTTTCGGCATGTGGTGCGCTTAATGTGCCCATTTCCGGGCCATGCCCAGTCGTAGAGAGGTTGCAGCGATCAGATGAACTCCGCAACAACAACCATGCCGAGGCAGGCACTATCGTTCTCTATGATTTTGTCTTCTGCTTCTACATCATGCTCTTTGCAGCCGGTTTCGTTTTCTGCTTTCTTGGAGTAGGGCACCTCGGCAATGAGTCAATGAGTGAAGGCTGATCATTGAACTGGCTCTGCAAACTGTCAAGCCGGTTGGGTTAGGAAGCTCAGGTGGTGGCAGACTTGCCACATCCATTCCTGGGAAGCTGTTTGGGCAGCACTCCTCCTGCTGTTCTTCGCATTTGGCACGATGGGCTTCACCTGCTGCTGGGGTGCCTTTGCCGCACGGAGATCGCTAAAGGAGCCGCTTGAGAGGAGCCGCCGCTCTCGTGGCTTTCTTTTCTGAGGATTTGCTGTGGGCTGCTGGGGTGGCTTAGAGGCGCTTGGCCTCTCATCCTCCCTGGCACGCATCTTCTTCGGCGTCCGCGAGCAGCCGGTGGTCTTTGCAGCCCCTGTGCAGCCTGCGCCGTACAGGCAGACCGAGTGTCTTGACTCCTCGCAGTCGCTCTTGTCAATCCCCCAAACACATGGCATTCGGTTTGAGAGGTGCGGCTTCACATAAGCCATGGCAATGTAGAATCCACAGCCGGTGAACAAACCACGGTGAGGCACAGGCGAGGTTGCCCTGGGGTTCCGCTTCTCCCAGGATGGCAGCTCCGGGCGCCAACACCTCTCAGGCCCTCCGGCCTGGATACTGAGAGCCTGGTGCAAATCTGGACATTGGTTGCGTGGAAAAAGCGCGTAGAAAGTTGCTGCAGGGTTTGCCGGGCTGGGGCTGCACCTCTCTGAATCCCTGCAGTCAATGACATCGAACACGAGCCTCACCGCTGCTGAAGTGAAGGTGCGCTGCCAAGTGGCTCCAACAGTTTGGCTCCTTTTTGCCCATTTTTTGCGCGTGCAAAAAAAACACGTGCTGCACCCTTGTGCCAAAGGCGCTCTACGAGCGCTTCCGGCGGTTGGCGCCATCAGGCACGGCGCAGCCGGAAAAGAGGATTTGATGTACGTGACAATGAACCTGGGCTGGGCGCCAGTCATCCTGCCAACTGCCAAGCTGATATTTTTGACAAATGCAATTTTAGGAGGTCACGCTTTGCCGCTTGCTGAAGTGACATCCTTGAGAAGCAGTGTTGGCCTCGCCGTGGCAAAACGTAAAGCTCTTCGCTGCAATTCCACGATTGCAATCTCCCATCGCCCAGTCACATAGCGAGGAAAGGGGCCTTGACTCGTTTCATTTTTCAGAACCAGAGCTCGTCTTTCATTTCACAATTGGTTCTACGCACTGCATTTGTCCCCCCATAGCTGCGTAGGTCGTCGAAATGTTTTCCCGCAGGGCTGATCTTTGGCCAGGCTATTTGATGCGCCAGCAGTTTCAGCAAACCATGGGCGTGATGGGCCTCACAGACGACCACTTTCTGGCAGATCGGATGTTTGAGGTGCCCGGCGCCAAGGTTCAGAGCCATGAGTCCATGAGACAGCTGCAGCTGACCCTGATCAACACACATCTGGTGGAAAACCGGGATGCTGATGTTGGCTGCGTTTGGGGGCCCTGTTCTGCCAGCGCGCACGAACTCCGAGCTAGGTTCGACTCCGATCAGGATGGAAGTCTAAGCTTCGAGGAGTTTGCGTCTGCGCTTGGGGCCCGGTGAGTGCCTCCCTTTGGAGGAAGAGCATACCTGCAGCTTTCAAAGTTCAAGGGGCTCTGCAGTGGTAGATGTGTGTGTGTGAGAGCATAGTGAGCCGCTATCAATGGAGATTGCCTGCCAAGGGCTTCCTCTTTTTTTGGTTGTGGCTGACAGGTGATGTTTGTCATGGTTGGTGAAACAACCCATGCTCGACTGCTGCAGCAGGTAGCCGTACTGCGTCGTTCTGTCGCCAACTCACACCTATCCCGGTCAGGAAAAGCAAACATTTAGAAGGGCTGAAATCTTGAAAACAGTCCTAGCGGTATTTTCTTCGAAAGTCTCACTGCCCCACACTGCACAGCGCACAAACTGCCAAACTTGCAAAACCAACGACCCCGGAACAAAAAGGCTGCTGTACACCAATTAATCTTCACCACCAACTCCCACGCACTTGAAGTTTGCAGACGTTTCCCTTTTTTGCGTTGGCACTCTGGCCAAAAGGTCTCGGCGGGTAGGTGATGATTGCAAGTTCAACAACGCAGGAGCTTTGTGGGGTAGAAAGCAGATTCGGCACGTCCAAGGCTTGCCATCATGATCCGTGGAAGCGAGGCACTGGCAGGGCGAACGGGCACGGATGTCAGCGGCATCGCCACATGTGAGGACGAGAAACTGGCGCTGAGTTTTAAGATGGTGGCTGGACGAGAGGCCGGGGTCGGGGCCAGGGGGGAAGCTGACTGGATTCCAGGCTTGGCCGATATACTCGTGCTGCAGGCAAAAGGCGTGCGCCTAGAGGACTTCCAACACCTAGCAGGGAGCTCAGAATTCGGGATAGATTCCAGGGGTCCGTTGGTACCCGTGGGCGCTGGCGATCAATTCTTCACGAAAGATTCTTTATATAGACGAGCACAAAGGACCCGCGGCAAAGGCACATATTGCATGCTGTCCCTGATTGACGGCGCCAAGGTTGCATCTTGCCATCGCATGATGCCTGAACCTCAGGAAAAGCCAAACGTCGCCGGACAATTGACATTGCCTAGAGGAGATGTTTGTTTGCCTCTGAAACGTGAATGAGTGTCACCCTGCTGCATTTGAGTTTTTTCACCAGACCCAACTTGCCCGTCTTGGGAGTTCGTTGGCAGGTCATCCCTGGTAGCTCCTTCAGGGTCGCAGCCTGGGCATATCAGTCCAGGTGCTTGTCACTGCGTGTCACAGAGTCGGCTTCGTTAGGCGCTTGTCATCAGAAGAGGCGTGTGCCCATGAGATCCTGCCACATGTTTGCGTAGTGGTTGTCCAGCTGACAAGAGAGTGCTCAATCCGGCCCTGTGATGGGCCAGGGTTGGTCCACACGCCCAGGACGTCAAGCGGCTCTTCCATAGCCTGGCAACTCGCGAAAGCGACGAGGAGGCTGAGCCTTTGTGGCAGCCTGCGCCTATCCCAATATCAGAAGTGGACAGTATCTCAAGAGGACTCCCCCTCGTGACCTTTGCATTGGGTGCGCGCAGGTCATCAGCCTGGAGGCATACAAAGCTGCCGCTCAGGAGAATTTGGACTTTCTGGCGTGCCTTGGGTTGGCGTCGGAGCCCTGGATTCGATGTTCTGAGTGGCTCGAAATTTCTTGGGGCTTTGCATTGTGCTTTTCCTCACTGCCGCGTCCAGCTTCACTTCTATACAAACAGCAGAGGCAGCATGCGTCTCTGGACTTTGGAGCCGGCCCATCGCCCTAAAATTCAGCATGTCGCACAACAATACTGGCTTTGCTTTGAATATGTGCAGCATCACCTGAGCAGACACTCAATCAACTCAAAAGTGTTGCTTTCAAGCCTGACATGGTTTGACTTGGCGTGAAACATGTGAGCAGCAGACGCGGTTTGCCTCCAATGGGCAAGTTTCCGCCAGCCGTCGAAGCGCAAGATGCACGTGCAAGAGTTGGCGGGCTGCGGCCAAGCAAATTTCCGCCAGCCTCCCTGCCCCCAACAAGCAAATTCCCACCAGCCTGCATGCCTCCAACGAGCAAGTTTCCGCCGCCCAGGGAAGCCCGTCCAAAGCCTTCACTCAGATCGATCAGACCCAGCCGTGCCCCTGAGCAGCTGCAGGCCCCACCTGCCGTGTGCACTCAGGATGCTAAGGAGGAGGAGGAGGAGGAGCAGGAGGCAGCTCTAGCTGAAGTGGCGAAGGAGGAGGTGGTGCTAGGGTGGGCTAAGCAGCTTGCGTGCGCTGGGGAGGCAGAGGAGGAGAAGGCTCGGCCGGTAGTGTGGGCTAAATCGGAGAAAGTGCAATGGGCCGAGGAGGCGGAGGAGGAGGCGGAGGTTGAGGAAATGCAGGCGGAGAAAGCTGAGGACGAATGGGAGGAGGATCGGGAGGAGGATCAGGAGGAGCACGAGGAGCAGGGGGGCCATGAGGAGCAGGGGGGCCATGAGGAGCAGGAGGAGCGGGCAGAGGACAAAGAGAACGAGGAGGCCGAGGGATCTCGGGACCAGCGATGGGCCTCACAGTGGGCTGGGCCGCAACGGGCCCAGGATGCCGATGCCAACGCTTGGGAGACGTCACACTGGAACGGGTGGCAGCGCAGCTGGCAAAGCTTCCAGGGTGAGCCGGAAACATCCAGGAATTTTTCCAAGGAAGGCTACCGCATCGACTGGGTCAGCCGCAGGGAGGCGAAGCTCATGCTCACCATGCAGGGCTTCACCAGCTTCCACATTTCCAGAACGATTGGAAAACGCGGCAGCAACCTCCTAGAGATTGGGCGAAGGACGGGCACTAGGGTGCATCTTTGTGGCAAAGATTCTAACAGGCCGACTAGCGAGCCTAACCACTTGCTTATACGTGGGGACGAGGAGCGGGTTGAGAAGGCATTGGTAGTTGCGTGCCAAAAGGTGGAAGAGGTCCTGACCACCGACATACCAATCTGTGAGCATTGCGGCGCAGACCACAAGAGCAGAGACTGCCGCAAAATCAGGCAGGCCTATGTCCGACATGTATATGTAGACCCTTCTGCTAATGTTGGGTTTATCATTGGCAGCGGCGGCAGGAACGTGAAGCCAATCAAAGACGAGACCAGGGCCTTGATCCGAATGTGTGGCATCGGGTCCGGTGAGCTGCGTGCAACCGAGCCTTTGCACATGCGCATCGAGTGTCCGACCGCGGAGGAGTTGGAGGTGGCTGCGGAGATGGCCCAAGAACTGATTGGCCGAGTGTGCAACTGGTCGCCATACGACGAGATGCCGCCCCAGGGCCACAAATTCGCCAACCAGCTGAAGATTGAGCTGGAGCTGGGCCCTGACCGCGAGAGCTACGACAGCATCAACGCCCATTTGCTGGGCAAGGGCGGCCAGAACTTCCGGCGTATCCGCGACGCCACTGGCGCGTGGGTGTGGCTCCGTGGGCAAGGCTCCGGCTTCGGGGCCTCTGACGAGCCACTCCATTTGCTGGTAGAACATGATGACCAGGAGGCGGCAGAGAGGGCCTTGCAGATGGCCCAGGAGCTCTTAGATTCCGTGTGCGCCCGACTGGGGAGCACCTTCTGCCGCATTTGTGGGGGCCCCCACTTCACCTACCGCTGCAGCAAGGCCAACAGTGCTGGTTACCTCAAAGAGATGAAGGCGAAGGGCGCAGGAAGAGGTCGCACTGATGACGAGCAGATTGGCCCGAAGCGGCGGAGAGAGGCCGAACCCACAGAGAGAAGCTGGTCATAGCATCAGAACCTGCCGAAGCTGCATTTAGTTCGGGAGCTGGAGAAAATGCGCCTTGCGGAGCAGAACCCCCATTTCCTGCTTTCTTCGAGGCTTTTTTTTGCAGAGCGCTTGAGTGCCTGCTTCACTCACCTTGCAACCGCAGTGAGCTAGTTGGGGGCCGGCCCCCCACGCCTAGCAGCCGAATTCGCCTGAACTGCCCAGGCCCCAGGGTGTGCGATCTTTGCCGAGCAAGAAGAGGCCTGGCTGAGCAGAAGACAGCAGACCAATGTGTCAATTGAGAAGCAGCTTCACGATCAAGCATCGACTTAGTTCTGCTCACCTGGTCAAATGAAGTCAATCAAAGATCAGGTGAGCTGGTGCGATAGATAAGCTTTATGCGCGTATGTATGTATGTATGTATGTATGTAATGTAATGTAATGTAATGTAATGTAATGTAATGTAATGTAATGTAATGTAATGTAATGTAATGTAATGTAATGTAATGTAATGTAATGTAATGTAATGTAATGTAATGTAATGTAATGTAATGTAATGTAATGTAATGTATGTATGTATGTATGTATGTATGTATGTATGTATGTATGTATGTATGTATGTATGTAATGTATGTATGTATGTATGTATGTATGTATGTATGTATGTATGTATGTATGTATGTATGTATGTATGTATGTATGTATGTATGTATGTATGTATGTATGTATGTATGTATGTATGTATGTATGTATGTATGTAATGTATGTATGTATGTATGTATGTAATGTAATGTAATGTAATGTAATGTAATGTAATGTAATGTAATGTAATGTATGTAATGTATGTATGTATGTATGTATGTATGTATGTATGTATGTATGTATGTATGTATGTATGTATGTATGTATGTATGTATGTATGTATGTATGTATGTAATGTATGTATGTATGTATGTATGTATGTATGTATGTATGTATGTATGTATGTATGTATGTATGTATGTATGTATGTATGTATGTATGTATGTATGTATGTATGTAATGTATGTATGTATGTATGTATGTATGTATGTATGTATGTATGTATGTATGTATGTATGTATGTATGTATGTATGTATGTATGTATGTATGTATGTATGTATGTATGTATGTATGTATGTATGTATGTATGTATGTATGTATGTATGTATGTATGTATGTATGTATGTATGTATGTATGTATGTATGTATGTATGTATGTATGTATGTATGTATGTATGTATGTATGTATGTATGTATGTATGTATGTATGTATGTATGTATGTATGTATGTATGTATGTATGTATGTATGTATGTATGTATGTATGTATGTATGTATGTATGTGTATGTTTGTATGTATGTATGTATGTATGTATGTATGTATGTATGTATGTATGTATGTATGTATGTATGTATGTATGTATGTAATGTATGTATGTATGTATGTATGTATGTATGTATGTATGTATGTATGTATGTATGTATGTATGTATGTATGTATGTATGTATGTATGTATGTATGTATGTATGTATGTATGTAATGTATGTATGTATGTATGTATGTATGTATGTATGTATGTATGTATGTATGTATGTATGTATGTATGTATGTATGTATGTATGTATGTATGTATGTATGTATGTATGTATGTATGTATGTATGTATGTATGTATGTATGTATGTATGTATGTATGTATGTATGTATGTATGTATGTATGTATGTATGTATGTATGTATGTATGTATGTATGTATGTATGTATGTATGTATGTATGTATGTATGTATGTATGTATGTATGTATGTATGTATGTATGTATGTATGTATGTATGTATGTATGTAATGTATGTATGTATGTATGTATGTATGTATGTATGTATGTATGTATGTATGTATGTATGTATGTATGTATGTATGTATGTATGTATGTATATGTATGTATGTATGTATGTATGTATGTATGTATGTATGTATGTATGTATGTATGTATGTATGTATGTATGTATGTATGTATGTATGTATGTATGTATGTATGTATGTATGTATGTATGTATGTATGTATGTATGTATGTATGTATGTATGTATGTATGTATGTATGTATGTATGTAATGTATGTAATGTATGTATGTAATGTATGTATGTATGTAATGTATGTATGTATGTAATGTATGTATGTAATGCAATGCAATGTAATGCAATGCAATGTAATGTAATGTAATGTAATGTAATGTAATGTAATGTAATGTATGTAGTGTATGCATGTATGTATGTATGTTTTGTATGTATGTATGTCTGTCTGTCTGTCTGTCTGTCTGTCTGTCTGTCTGCTTGTATGTATGTATGAAATGTATGTATGTATGCAATGTAATTAATGTATGCATGTAAGGTAGGTATGTAATGTATGTAATGTATGCAATGTATGTAAGTAAAATGTATGTATCTATGTGTCTATGTAATGTAATGTAATGTAAGCCGTAATGTAATGTAATGTAACGGGATGTAATGTCATGTGATGTGTAATGCAAAGTAATGTATTGTAATGTAATGTAATGTGTATGTACTGTGTAGTGTAACGTACTGTAATGTAATGTACTGTAATGTAATGCACTCTAATGTAATGTAATGTCATGTAATGTCATGTAATGTCATGTAATGTCATGTAATGTCATGCAATGCAATGTAATGTAATGTACTGCAATGTAGTGTAGTGCAGTGTAATGCATGTATGTAATGTATGTATGTATGTTTGTATGTATGCATGTATGTATGTAAAGTATGTATGCATGTATGTATGCACATACATACATAATGTAATGTATGCAATGTATGTATGTATGTATGTATGTATGTATGTATGTATGTATGTATGCATGTGTGTGTATGTATGTATGTAGTGTATGTATGTACGTATGTATGCTTGTATGTATGTAATGTAATGTAATGTAATGTAATGTAATGTAATGTAATGTAATGTAATGTAATGTAATGTAATGTAATGTAATGTAATGTAATGTATGTAGTGTATGCATGTATGTATGTATGTTTTGTATGTATGTATGTTTTGTATGTATGTATGTATGTATGTATGTATGTATGTATGTGTGTGTGCATGCATGTCTGTCTGTATGTATGTATGTATGTATGCATGTGTGTGTAGAATGTATGCAACGTAATGTATGTATGTATGAAATGTATGTATGTATGTATGCAGGCATGCATGCATGCATGTATGTATGCACGTATGTGTGTGTATGTGTGTGTATGTGTGTAATGTGTGTAATGTAATGTAATGTAGTGGAATGTACTGTAATGTACTGTAATG